GAGCCCGATGTGGGACTCGATCCCAGGACCCCAGGATCATGACCTGAGCCGAAGGCAGACGCTTAACGACTGAGCCACCCAGGCGCCCATCCTGTTGTTTTTTTTTTTAAAGACACCGAGGTAGATGGTATGGTATTTACATTAGCCGTGGGTCCCTTTTTAATAATAAAGAGCCATAAGAGTCTCGAGCTTTACAGTGTTTGATTGAAAAATTTTCCATCACAGATACATGTTTAGTCACTTGGATTCCTTTGATTTTTGTAGGATTGGGAGTTTGTTCATCACAGATCCTGGACTCTAACCTGGACTGAGACACCAAGGTAGGTGAATAATGTCAGCCACAGCAAGGTAGGTGGATAATGCCATCCTGAAGCATGCAGGTGACAAGGGATGGAGAGCTGTGAGGAAGTCAGTGTCCCCCCAGAGACAGAGATGTGGGGGTCATGCCCCAGGTCTTCTGCATTGTCCTTGCACGTTGTATCATCCTAGGGGCCAAAAGAGGTGAAGTCTTGCCAGCCAACTGGGTTGCTGTGTGTCTTAGGTAACCTCCTTGCTCTCTCTGAGCTTTGGTTTGCTTATCTGCAAAGCAGTGGTACCCGGGTACGGCTCTAAGTCGGACGTTATATGGCGTAACCACACCAAAACCAGGTCAGCACCCTGACCTCCTTGTTCCCATCCAAGCTGCCCCGGTCCATTTATCAGCCTTTATCGAGAACAGCGTGAGACACAGAGTAAGCACTCAGTACATATCTAGAGATGGCTCTGTGGCTCTCGGACCTGACCACTCTTTTTATCTGGCATATTTCTGAAATATCGGAGTAGGTTAGGAAGAAGGAAGCTGGAGACAGTGATATTTTTTTTTTCCTTAGGGATCCCCCTCCTTTTCCACCAGCCCCATCCAGCTGGGGGCACCCTGGGCCCCCCTGAACCTGGAGCCGATTTCCCTCCCACTTCTTCTGACTCATATCTTTCATCACGTCTCAGGAGCGCGGCATCTGTCACTCCCTCTCCTGGGGGACAGGAGGGCCTTGCACAGACTCAGCTGGAACTCAGCGCGGCCAGGACCAGGCAGAAGCCTGGAGCTATTAGCAATTAGCGTGGGCCCCGTGCACATCTGGGTGAAGGAAGTTTCCTGCTTTCTTAGCCACCTTCTTCCCTTCCCCGTGAAGCGTGAATCAGGAAGAAGGAAGCATTCTTGCTTCTTTTCCCTCTCCTCCTTGAGCTGTGACTTTGAAGGACATTACAGATGATTCGCTCTGCTGTGGAGGCTTCTGCATTTTTCACGGGTCGCGCTCTGCAGCGCTGAGCCCGTTCGGGCCCGAGTCTGGAAGTTAGAATTGCTGCAGTCTCACCTCCCTCCACACCTCCAACCTCTTTTCCAAGAGATTTCCAGGCCCGCTTTTTTGCTGAAAACCCCACCAGAACCCTTGCCAATGTGTTTGGGAGAGGAAAGCTTACTTTAGATGGGCTTCCCAGGACTTTTCGATAATTACAGCTTGATTCTAAAGCACGAAATGCTTATTATTATAAAACCAATGTGTTTGCTGCCAAGGCGATAGGAAAGACACCACATAAGCCACACCGACACAAGGTTCAGGGAAATCAAGACTTTTTACTGGATTTGAGAGGAAGGCATACCGGTGAAAACAGAAGACTGGGATCGTTAGCCGTGTGTGCAAACTCACGGGTTTGTAGGGAGACAGGAGAGAAAGAAGGAAAGAAACCGAGGAGAGAAACACCTTCGGACTGGAGACAGAGCAGTGACTTTGAGCACACAGACACAAAGCCAAATAACCATTTGTAAGGGTTCTGGAATATACAGACAGCTGTGATGTGGAAATGTATATTTCCCCAAACTCTTACTCATTTCAAAGTGTTTTTATAGCTCACTATGTGCCAGGCTTTCTCCCTAACCCTCTACATATGTTAACTCATTTAATTAAATTTCCATTGAGTTTCACAGTTTCTAGATTTATGGAATTTTCACCTGGAGACTGTTAGTGAAATCTGTGATCACTCCTCACCCAAAGAAGCTCTTGGAACGGTGACAGATCATTCTAGATTCCAGCCCACACTTTCCCTGTTAGCACCTGTCCCCCTGCCACCTGGCCTCTCTACTTCTGGGAATGTTTAACCCTTGGTCTGGGGCTGGGCAGGACAAGCGCTAGTGAACAGGAAAGGGGAGGAGAGCCTAGAGAATGTGGGAGGGGAGAGGTCAAGGGGGTGGGGAAGAAAAGGACCCCAACCGGCAGACAAGCTCAGAGGAACTGGGCAGCCTAATCAGTTGAGACTCGTTTTCCAAAGACCTACCATCTCAGCAGCAGGAGGGAGGTCTGTTCAAACCAGCAAGGTCGCTGAGAGCTTCTGCCACGCCTCCCCCTTAGCTCCTTCCATGCGAGCAAGGAAGTTCTGATGAGTTAATGCTTCCAGGAACTGAGTAGGAGGGGGTTGCCCTTCTTGCCAGGGCATTATCCCACTCTTTGAAGAGTTGGTTTTGAAGAAGGACCAAACTCAGGCTTGATGCAGCAGAAACAGGGCACATGGTGGCATTGCTTTGACCCTGGGCTGCGTGTCTGTCCCTCTCCAAGTTCCCTTTCCGGCCTTCCTTCCCCACTTGGCACCATCAGTGTGTGTGGGGGACTGACAGCAGGGAGGGGAAATTCTTCCCAGGAGATCCTTCCCTTCACTGTGGCCCCTTCTGCTAGTTTTGAGGGGCCTGGAGCAGAGTGGAAGGATCACAAGGCAAAAGCAAATCAGAAGCCTATTAAGAGTCAGAGGTCAAATTCCGAGAGGTCACGCTCAGAGGGCCAGAGGTAGGATACTCTGGAAGAGTTCCGAGCGCCCTAGTGATTGAGAGGGCGCCCGGTTGGGGATGAAGCAGAGAGCACCCTAGGCAGTCCCGGGGAGAGGTCTAGGAGGTTTCCCTTCAGCGGTGCATGCTTGGGGCTGGTTGGAGGTGTCAGAGGCAGGTGGGCAGGTGTCCCTTTTCCCTTAGTTTCCTTATAGAGCGAGGCAAAAAGTCTCTGGTCGCGGTCAAATGACCCAATTCATGACAAGTGCCCAACAGAGTGCTGGATGTAAATATTAGGTTGGCTTCTAGGATTCTATTTTGTTAACCAAAGTCTTTAGAGGTCATAATAAAATTCACTACTGGAAGCTGGCCCACTTACCAACAAACACATGGTGACATTTGCTTGAGGTAGCAGGAAATAGCCGGATACATTTTCTTCACCTGGAATGATAGTTTTGGAGTCCCGGATCGGTGGGCCTGTGCTAAGCTTGGCACAGAAGCACGTACTGTTGAGTTTGGGGAGCTGCAGAAAAATCTGGTTTCAGGTTTGGTGATTTGAAAGAGGAGTCACCAAGAAGGTGGCACTTGTCTTTGGCTGTTCTACAGAAGTAGCTTGACAATGACTTGGAGAAGGAACGGAAGAGGCTTGGTTTATATATATTTGAACTCCAAGATCCTTTTGGTATGTCTGAGGGTGGGGGGCAGAAAGGAGGGGGTGAAGAGCTGGGAGGTAGATAGTGGGGGGCTCCTCCCTATGAAGTCGTCCAAAGCAGTATTCCCTAACTGCGGGCGCACCCCAAATTAGATGAAATGGGCTAAAACACATTGGGATTCCTTGCTCTAGAATAAGTGGTGACACGATACAATTCTTTTTTTTTTTTTTTCTTGAAGCCATTTCTCTCATGCTACCTCCTTCCATGTGGCTCTGTTCCCAGGAGCCTTGCTTGTCCAGAGTTCTGGAAAAAAAGCAAAATATCTCAGATGCTGGAAAACCAGACTGGAATCGGGGTGCACCCCTTCCTGGCCAGCTCCCCCTGCATGCTCTTGTTCCCCCAGCCCAGCTTGGCTTCTTGCTAAGGCACCCTGGCCCCATCTCCCATCTCTGCTGGACTGGGGCAGTGGCTGACTCCTGCCATGACCAACAGGAAGCTTCAGTTTCAGGAAATTTGAAGTTAGGGTAGAAAAGGTCTGTGGGAGCAGCAACCCAGCACGTAGGGGGCCTGTCTGTTCTCTGGAGTGCAGACCGATCTGCTCCAGGAGCCACGGTCCAGTGGCCAGATGCTCAAAGGCAAGGCCTTTATTTCTGGGGTGGTGGGGAAGCGGAGTCAGAGGCTCAAGGAGGCTTAGCACACAGTGAACACTCCACGGATTTGGAGGATGATTTGATATCAGCAATCCCATACCTCAAATAATAGGGACTCACACGTAGTCAAGGGCCTTCTTACAGTAATCCCGTGCTAGTTATATGATCCAGTTTGCAAAACAATATTCTAGATAAAGACCTTCATATATGGACCCAGCTGCATTTATTGCTGTGGTCCCCTTCTCTTTCCTTCTGCTGGCACATTTGTTCTCAGTTGTATATATTTGAGATGAAACACTGGGAGCGGTGTTTCTTCTTTTATTTCATTTATTCATGTATTCGCTCCACGAAATTTTATGCATGCTCGCTGTGCCCGAATCTAAGCCCTGGGAGCATGACTCCTTCCTTGGAAGAAAGAAAGGGGCAGATAAACAACCCTGAGGCCATGTGATAGAGTGCCAGAATCTTCTGGTGTGGTCAGGAGAGGTTTCTCAAGAGATGAGACCCCTCCCTGCCCAAGACAGGCAAGAGGGCAGAGGGAGACAGGGTTAGAGATGAGAAGCCCACATGGCAAGGCACCGAGGTAGTCAGAGCACGGGGTGGTGAGCAATTACGGATGCCTGGAGAATCACACACAAGAGGGGCCGTGGTGAGATGAAACCAGGTAGGAGTGAAGGGGCCAAGCTCATGGGAAGTTCAATGCCATGAAAAGAAGAATACCTTTCATCCTACTGTCAGTAAGGAGCCAGTAAAGAGCTTTACATGCATGGGGATGAGAGGATCGTGTTTGCGGATGGGAAGGATGAGAGGCTAGAATATAGGGAGTTAGGCCGGAGGCAGGAAGACCAGATAAGGACATTTTCCAAATTCCGGGCAAAGGAAGCTGACAGTAATGATATGCAGGTGGGGGTACAAGGGGGGGTGTTTGAGAGAGTTCAGGATCAACTAGATTTAATTGCCAATTACATGTGAATAATCAGGGAAGCATTCAGCATGGCTCTTGGTTTTCTTAATCAGACACACAGTGGTGGGGGTTTCTATTCATGGAGGGAGGTAGAGAAGCAATGAGGGGAGCCAGCAGTTAAGGGGGGGTCTCTGAGGCGCTCCAGGGAGGTCTCGGTGTAGATGTCCAGCGTGCTGCTGGCTCTGGGGTACAGAGCCCAGGGGAGGAGTGTGGGTGAGGACAGCCATTTAGAAGTCGTTAGCATGTGGGTGGTGGTTACCGT